ACGCAATGATAAACAAGGATTCTTCTCAAACACCCGTAAAATAATTTTGTCCTCCTTTTTCGTCGTTTTCTGCATAGAGCCACGATCCGGCAAGTCATCAACGTTTTTGACCTCGGAATAACGTTTCACCCATTTACTCACAAACGCCTTAGACTTCTTCATATACTTAGCAGCCGCTCCGCGCGACATTTTTGGTCCTTTCGGATGCGAACATAGAAACACAGCTTCGTAACGTGATGCGTACGCGGCACTCATGTTGAAATACGCCCTTTTGTGACGAAAGTCAAACGATAACTAAGGCTTTCTAGACAAAGCATCTTGGGAGAAGAGCCCCGCTATTGGCTCGCGTTCATATCCCCCCTCTAACGGTTTCGAGGAAAAAGTTTTGCCGTACACGCTCTTATCAAACATACTGTATGTTGGCACTAATGAAATCGGGGAAGAATTGCCATCAGAGTTGCGTTTACGATATTTAAATTCAATAATAAAAAGTGTTGTAACACCTGAATTGTCAAGTGAAATTGATGAAAATCTTGATAGTAATGATAATATTAATGATTCCGAAGAAGCAGATGATAACGATGCTTCTGACTGGTTTCAATGGAGTGCCAATATTTACGAAAATGCCCAACAATTAGCAAGTAATTGCACCGAGGGAACTGCGATAAATGCATGCTTTAATCCAGATTTTGCTAAATTGCTAAAAATACGTTTGATGCCGTATGTAGTACTGTGGAACGGCGTAATGCGATCACGTTTCAACATAGGCGAAGAAATTGCCACTTCTTCTTCTGTGGAGGCTGCATTTGCTGATATAAAAAACCGCGCATTCAAAGGCCAATTGCCAATGAGAGCCGACAAATTTATACAGGAGTATCTCGACTATATCGACAATCGAATAAAATTAACATCATGTAAAAGTGATATTGTAATTGAGTCTTGCGAACAGTCCAGTGAACAGCAAAACCAAATAGCTGATGATTATTCTTGTACGAGTTCCGTGGAAATACAAGAAAATAATTCTTTAAACGATCGCTGTTATCTCGGTGCAATTAATTCTGACACGCCACACGGTAATGTACAAAACGACAGTAAGGAGAGCATTACAATTGATACTATCGTTGATAACGAGGATCAATTAAATAGTAATATTCGCGAAAATTGGCGAGGCCTTGCTCGTGAGTCGCCAGAGGTACAATTTTCGGCTGCAAAGCCACGACGGAGACCGTCATATCTTGATAAGTGTCCTGAATGGGACTACATCAAGTTAGCAAGAGACCAAAATATACCGCTTATGAGAAATGGCAATGTATCCAAAAGTGTTACAATAGATAAAAAAATTATTAACATTTACCAGACTTGTGCATTCGAAGCGGCATTTCATTTACTTGCAAGTGGCATTGCAACTATAAAATGCTACGAGGAAAAAATGAAATTGTCGGATAATCGTACAATTCATTTAGCTCTTTCAGTGTTGCAATCCGGTAAAGTGACACAAAATCATTATAATGAAAGAGCAAATATCTTATTACGCCTTTCGCTTTTTAAAGGCACTTTGCAGATGTATACCCGTGCCATTTCTAGACTAGATACGACTTGCAACGTTGCCCATTTAGTAACTTATTTATTCACGGATATACCAAGTTCTCAAATAACCACGGATTGTTCTTGTACCTCCTCACGAACACGGCAGACAGTTGAGTTAAATATAAATGTGGACATACTTCTTTGTAAAGGGTTACAACATGTGCAAGAAGCAATAGACGACGCTTTGATGATTAAAAAAAAATGCAAACAATGCTTAAAAAATGTAAACGAAAACGTAAATTATGGCTCATTTATTTATTGACACAACAGTCTTTACTGACGATAGATACACAAAACGCGATAAAACGATTGCGCACTCTCTGGATTCAATTGCTAATAAAGTCGAGTTAAAATCTAAAGTTTAATCGGATATTTTAATCGGAGTAGTACATTACGTGAACTTCTCCAGCGACAGTGGCCATTACATCGCATATGCGCGTTCTGGATCGCATTGGTACGAATACGATGATCTCAGAAAAAAGAGGCAATTGATAAGTGCTACAACTATAATTAATCCGCATCTAATTCTGTATGTTCAAGTCGATACGTAATTTTATATTAATTACATGCAATTACTATTCACATATATGTATAAATTGTTATATATATATATATATATATATATATATATATATATATTCTATAATTTACTAATATTATACTTACATTAACACTAGTCCTTACACTCACTGTATCGATCTGTGTTAATGATAATATAGTGAGTATCCAAGTTTATATTTCTGAATTACTCTATGTAACTGTTTCTTATCCCTTCTTATCTTCCCGAATTCTTCTCACGTCTCTTCGCAAATATTATTAGGCATCGGATGTTCGTAGAATGCAGCACACCAGGATCACATCGGAACGTAAAACTTAAAACAGCTTTAGAATACTGTAACATAAAATTAATTTTTTTGTTTATGCACTATATCACATATATAGCAAAGTATTCATGATTAATGTAGCATATATATAGTAAGTTACTATTGATTAATGTAACATGAGTAATCTATATATACCCCTCCATGCCGCCACCTTATCGTGGTGGAGGGGTACCTGCGATCCGATGAAGGCCGGCGGCAGTACCTTTCGGTTTCGGCTGAAAGGGAGGCCCCT